AGGTTGTATGGGGTTCCTTTGTCTATCATCTAATATAGAGGTCCTCAGTTTACCTCTCATTTCTGGAAGTCCTTTCAGAAGGGTCTTGGTACTCAGGTTAACCTTAGCACCGCATTTCATTCGCAGACGGATGGTCAGGCAGAGTGTACCATTCAGACGTTAGAGGACATGTTGAGAGCTTGTGTGAGTGACTTCAAGGGTAGTTGGGATGATCACCTTCCTCATATAGAGTTAGCCTACAATAATTGATACCATTCCAGCATTCAGATGGCCCCTTATGAGGCATTGTATGGGCGTAGATGTAGATCTCCAGTTGGTTGGTTTGAAGTAGGTCAAGCATCCTTGATAGGGCCAGATTCAGTTCATGATGCTATGGAGAAAGTGCAACTTGTTAGAGATAGACTTAAGACACCCCATAGTCGCCAGAAGTCCTATGCAGATGTAAGGAGAAGGGAATTAGAGTTCCAAGTTGATGATTGGGTTTTCCTGAAAGTGTCACCTATGAAAGGGGTGATGAGGTTTGGTAAGAAAGGGAAGCTCAGTCCTAGATATGAAGGCCCTTACAAGATCTTGAAAAGAGTTTGTAAAGTGGCTTATGAGTTAGAGTTGCCAGCAGAACTAGAAGTGGTACATCTGTTTTTTCACATTTCAATATTGAAGAAGTGTATGGGTGATCCAGCATCTATAGTACCTTTAGAAAGTATGGCTGTGAAGGATAGTCTCATTTATGAGGATGTGCCAGTTGAGATTCTTGATCGTCAAGTTAGAAGATTGAGAAACAAAGAAGTTGCTTCGGTTAAGGTTTTGTGGAGGAGTCAGGGGAGCTACTTGGGAAGCAGAACAGCCATGAAGGCCAAGTATCCTCATCTCTTTCCTTCCAATTCCATTCCAGCTTAAGGTAATAGTTCCTCTTCAGTTTTTCAATCATTCATGCGCAGTTTCAGTCTTAGTATCATGTCCTTCAGTTTGTACTTGCATTTTCAGTGATTTGCATGCCTTGGAACTTAGTTCAGTCAGAAATCAGTTTCCAATGCTTAGTGGTAGGTTTTGCAGCTCTTTCCCTCCATACCCAGCTAGTTTAGACTTCATTCAAGGACGAATGTTCCCAAGGGGGATCTATTGTAACATCCTAGATTCAAAGAAGAAGAAAATTATAGATTTTCAGAAGTTCCAGGTGCCACCGACGGAGGACACCTACGGACCGTCAGTTGACTAACGGCCCGTCAGTCAGCTCCGTCGATGGGCCAGTCAACTTTCAGTTTTAGACCCCAGATTTCAGCCCTCTGAGAGCCAAATGATGACTGACAGGACGGACCGTTAGTCGACTTACGGCCCGTCAGTCAGCTCCGTCGATGAGCCAGTCGACTTTTTAAGTCATGTTTTTTTTGTCTTTTCCCTATGCGTTGGAACCCTAAACTACGTAGTTTTGGTCAGTTTTAGCCTAGTAACTTAATTAGAACCTACCTTAGTCAATTCTTTCTCAAGTTAATCGATCAAACTTAGAACCAGAGAGGAGAAATAGTCGACCAAAGCTTTCCAAAACACAACAAGGTTTTCATCAGTATCAGCCCAATCAAAAGATTTCTCTGTGGAATTCGTCACCAGGTATGTGGCATTTCATTAGTGGGTTCCTTTCTCCCATTAGGTCCTTAGATTTCAGTCAGACTTTTGATCCCCTTAATATTATCTAGACTTAGGGTTTTTGAATGTTAGAATTGTTGGGTTTTAGCTATTAGAATGATCCAAATCGTATCATCATGACTTTAGTATCTTTATTGCCCAGGTTCATGCATAAAATCAGAACCCTAGCTATGTAGTTCGTTTAGTTCATGGATTACACATGCTAGGCCAGTTAATTCAGTTGTATATAAACATGCCTCAGTTTTCGAATGCATTATTATCAGTATATTAATGTTGCATTCCCAATTTGCATGTCAGTAATCGAGATATCCATTATTACAGACATTCAGCCATAAAATGTTAATTACATAATCAATTGGGAGAAGCTTAATACCGAGTGGATTAGGGTCAGACACCCTCAAGTCCCAGAACTACGTGCCCCATAGGTTGTAAGTCCCCGTTGTGGGCATCATTTTAGTAATCACGCCAGCATGTCTCAATACCTCTAGCAGGGTATAGTGGGTCCTCTCGATAGGGCGTATACATCAGACTCCACATTTAGCTTATGTGGTTTTATGTCAATTATTGGTAGCTCCCTTACAGTTCAGTCAGATTCTTTAGCATTAACCATGCTATCAGTATAGTTCAGCATTCAGTTTCAGCATGTTATAAACTTGGTCATTGCATTCAGTTTATCCATTTTCAGTATTTCCATTATCCTTATCATGGTTAGATTATATCATTGCTTTATTGCTTGTTCAGTTATGTTGTTATTCAGCTTTACTCTATCCTGCATGCTCAGTACCTTTCAAGTACTGACGCATACTCTACGCTACATCTTCTCATGATGTAGGTTCAGGTCCTCAGCAGTCAAATTACGCATAGATCGGTTCCCGATCTTCAGTTCAGTAGTATCAGTGGTGAGTCCTCATTTTTCGAGGACTAGTGACATGATTGTGTTTCCTTTCTTTAGTATTAGTTTCAGTTTTGCTAGATTTAGCTAGGGTATGTCCCAATATTTCTAGTCAGTAGAGGCTATTTTCAGACATAGACAAATTCAACTATAGTGTTAGAGTTTGACTTTTCAGTTGTTGATTAAACTCTCATTTTCCATATATTCAGATTTAGTATATGGGTATTCCCCATCATTTCAGATTATCTTATGATTTAGCTTCCGCACAAATTTATTGATTAAGTTTATCTTTAGTATGCTTATGATATGCCAGCAGGGTTAGCTTGGGGTCACTCGTGATCCTAGGTTCCGTGTCCGCGTCCAGGCGGTAGCCTCTGGGAGTGACAGAATGAAATCTTATTTAATATTGAAATGTTTTCATCGTTCTTTTAATTCTGTGATTTTTATTTTATATATTTTAGATTTGTTTTGTTTTGTAAAAAATATATTGCTTTGGTCAAACTATTGTTATATAGGAGTTGTTTAGGTACTTAAATTGTATATTTAATTTTTTTTACCCGTATTACTAATACCATGAATGTCTAGGTATTAGTAATGTAAAGGGATCTAACAACTGCATTAGCATGGTTAAAGACTCAATTATCCATAAAAAACACTTTTACATCTTTTCCACCATAATTGTAGAGGATATTTTTATAAATAAATAATTTTATACAATGCATACTATATTTAATACACCAAACTAAACAATGCATAAGAAATAATTTATGCATAACTAATGCAAGCAAAACAAATATAAACAGTACTAATGCAAGCATTACTAATACACTCTACCAAACGACCCCTAAGAGTCTATTTGTGCACACCCAAAATTAAAGGCATAAATATGAAATAAGACCAAGTTAAAGGAAATATTTATGTATTATGCCTAACTTGAGAAAATGGTCTAAAACCCCCCCAACCTATACCCGAAATCCCAACTACACACTCCAACTTTACGGGTGTCCTATTACCCACCTGAACTTTATATTTCTCTATTTTCTACACACCTAAGTGCTGACCTGTCATGGGAGGTGTTCTCACCTCCTCTAGGCGCGTTAGAAGGTTAATTTTGACGAAAAACTCCTCCTTCTCCAACGGTCATCTTCCCCACCTTTAAATAAACCATTATTTCTTCTTCCCCACCATTAACCCTTGTTCCTTTTATAAAAAAATCACAATTTTCTCTCAGAATTAAGTAGAGTTTAGTTGTTAATGTTCATTTCTACTTCAAATCTTGAATTTAGGGTTTGTAATATGCTCTAATTTCTTATTTAGGTCTCTAATTTGAATTTTGAATTTTCTCAAAATTCATCAAAAATGGCAAATGGCAAATGAAAACTTGAATAAGCTTTGTATGGATGAATCAGACCCAATGCTCAACGCTGTAGTGAGATGCAAACACATAATTTTACTGAATTTGCAAACTTCTTGGTCGAAATTAAATCCGGGAAGAAGATTTTGGTCTTGCCCATGCTATGGTGTATGTGTTTTTTCTTGTATTCTTGCTACACTTTATTTTGAACGATGCTAATGTACTGTTTTGGATCATTTTTAGTCTAAAAATTGCAAATTTTTTCGATGGAGGGACAAAGAAGAAGTGGATCCAAGATCAAGTTTTATCCTTCCAAGATTGGTGAACAAAATCAATGAGTTGGAGCAAGAATTATGTATTAGACAGGTTCATATTGACAACTTGATGAACTCTAATTTGTTATTGGAGAGGAGACTCAATAGAAGGTGGAAATGGTGTAGGTTCAATAGGAAGATACTTTTGTGTATTTTGATTTGTGTTGTTGCTATGTTCATCAGCAACCAGTAGTTCAAGTGCTGCATATTTGGATTTCTCTTTGATTTGTATTGTTGTTATGTTTAATCAATGTATGTGTGTCATTTTGTATCTATGATGTCTATTGAAGCTTGTATTAATATGCAACACTTCATCAACAACCAACAACCTAGTCATCCATTCATACTTCAAATAGACAACACAACACCATTTGTAAAACACATAACCAACATAACATATGTAAGCACACCTGAATCGCCAATACAATTCGATAGACAACACAACA